CACAATAAATAAATTGAAAAAAATAAAGTGAAAGAAAAGTGAACGAATTAAAATCATGACGCAAAGACATGAATCAAAGTCGTGTGTGTGAACACGTGCAAATGCTACCACAAGAAATTAAATACGATCTAAAAGTAACGACGTTGGATCATAGAAAATTAGCATAAATCGAAATATGCAAGTTGCTAACGTGTAGGCGGTTGTTGTACCCCAAAATTTGCCTCCATATTTCTAACCCTAATTAATTGTTGTTTCTCAATCATATGCATTTGTCCATTAGGTCATATATTTACAATCATTCATTCACATGAGATCCTAATGCATGGGATCAAGCCCTACTGAAGAATCACGGTTCCCTATTGGCTTACGGTTTCTACTTCATTGAAGATCAATTCAACTGGTTTTCTCATTGGCTTACGGTTTCTACTTCATTGAAGATCAATTCAACTGGTTTTCTCATGGATCATGGAATTAAGGTTGGCTATCATCACCACAAACATCTTCTTATTGGGTTTCATCTAGTATCAAGTTCATATTCTTCAAGATAACTCAAAGGTTTCTAGAATAATGAAGGTTGCCCTTTCGTTGGTATTTGAGCACGTTCATTGATTGAAGTCAAAATGTTTCGGGTTGATCAGAAGGAATGTATGTGATTAGTGATTAAACTGAAGATTGAATTCAAGAATGTTTCAAGTAACGTTAAGTTCTTGGAAATTTATTTTGTCCTAGAATTTGATAGGAGGATGTCCGGCATCGTTTGCTTGAGATTCAAGTAACGAAGATGTTGTTCAAGATCATCGTTGTTTAGGGCTCTCGCATATGGTACGAGCTTGTGGATATGCATCAATGAAAGATTATGGTTTAGGTGGAATTCCAAAGACTAATTTAACATCCCAAGTCCATACCATCCATGTTCAATATTGCAAGTTCTAGTCCTAAGCTTCAAGCTCAGATTAATACAAAAAATTCTCTACAAGATGTAAGAATCAAGAGTCCATATTACTTCCACAAAAGTTGGTTACAAATAAGAATAATGTCAAATTTAAGATCTCTTTACAAGTACAAGAATCCAAAATCCAAGTAGGTTCAATATGTGAAGAACTACAAGATTTGAACTCCAAGAGTTCAAAGGTTAAGTTCCTCCAAAAATTAAAGGATCCATGAAGTACAAATTCCAAACTACAAGATAGAACAAAGGTTACTTCGGAATGAGTATGAATCTTTTAGTTTGGGGAAGGAAGATGAAGTTGCTTTTATAAAAGTTGGTTTATGGAGTAAACTTACATCTAGAATCCTGTTTTTGAAATGGGTCAGATTCAAAAACTTGAACATGTTCATGTTGGAACAATCCATTAAGAAACATAAACTTCAAGATGGTTCTTTCACAAAAGCCATTTTCCTTTCTATTTGGAAATCCTTAGCCTTGAATGCTATTTTAGTAGGTGTTAATACAATTTCCTCTTATATTGGTCCACTATTGATATCAAACTTTGTGAATAATGATAACTATTGAGTCACTGAGTCAAAGACAATGGTACTTTGGTGCTCAAAGAATGCGAATTCAGGTGCATGCTGCACTTATGGCTTTAGTTTATAACAAGTCCCTAATGATTAAATATGGTGTACCAACACATGGTAAATTCATCAACTTGATTAATGCGGATGTCGAAAGAATCGGTATGGAGTTTGGCTGCTTCCAGTTCAAGTTATTTTGGCTTTGGTGATCTTAACATAAATTTGGGTTAGACGCCTTCTATTGCGCATTCTCTGTTACCATTTTGGTTATGGTTTATAACACTCCTTTGGCCAATATACAAGAATATTCTTTTAAGGACTTCACAGGTTTTAACAAAAATTCATCTTCAAGATGCTTCAATTCAAATTCTTTTCACAAATTGGATGTTCAACATTTCAAATCAAAGTTCATCAAAGATTTATACAAGAATCAAATAGCATACTTAATTTACAAACACAATTACAACAAAATCCATCCAATGTCTATTTAACAAGTTTGTAATCCAAAATGCCGGTGCTCATTCTCCTGCTAAAGGTTGTCTAGGATCCGAAAGTCGTAATCAGTTGTTAGGTACCTTGATAGCTTGCTACAAAGATTTTGTCCATGGAACAAGTAGTATACTTTTTTAGCCAGCAAAATTCAGTCATTATGCCAGCAGAAAGCACCTGCACAAATGTGGAGAATACATGAAAGTTAATAGTGAATTTGTGAACCTCTGCAAGTCACAAACCAATAACCATTAACTCCCAATCCGACGCGATCAATGAAAAAACAGAAACACAATCATTGGAGCAAGGATCTCGCGTAATCGCTGAAGTAACATGGCAGTGGATGTTGTCATTGTGTTGGGCTTCCATTCATTGTGTTGGGCTTCCATTCGTCTCTTGCGGGGACATCACACGCCGCAAGAGACGAATGGAAGCCCAACACAATGACAACATCCACTGCCGTGTTACTTCAGTAGCGCGATTACGCGAGATCCTTGCTCTAATCACCCTCTTTTCCGTCAAAATCAGTTTCAATCTTCGGCAGCGTAAATCCGCGGGTTTGCATCCTCCTTTCATTCTCCTTTTATGTTTGGCTTGAGATTGTTGTTTAGTGTATGGTGTGTAGAGAAAGCGCCCGTGTTTTTTTGTTCTTGAAATTTTGCTTTTGAGAATTTTTGGAGAAGAAAGAGAGGAGAGGCGTTGAGTTTAGAGGGATAAAACCATTGTTGAAAGTTTATGAAGTTTCTATGTGCAACTCGGTTGGGCTTGAAGCATTAGCCCAAGTTTTCTTAACACCTTTAAAAATCGTTTTGGCACCCGTGGATACATGAACATGGTTTTTGAGCTTAACATGATAAGCCCACATTAGTTGCTTTTAACACACACTACCATTCCATTTTGCACCCCATTTTTTTGTTATTTTAGATTTTAGAGGTTATTTAATTTTATTTAAATAATTTGTGACTACTTTTTATAATTGGTGATTAATTTTTTGTTTAAGTTTATAATTGACTTCTTGAATTAATTAGTTTTTTCGTTAGTCTTTATTTAGATTTCCTGACAAAATTTTTGAGGATTCCCTTATTGGTTTCTTACCATGATTATGATACATTGTCTGATGATCGTGACACCTTCTGGTATATAGTTGGTTGTTTTCCTATATGACTCACATGACCCCTTAAGACATCCTGATTCAACTTTCTCTTTCATAAGTTGAATTAGAATTAGACTTTAGGCTTTCACCCAAACATGATAACTTTTAGGATATGAATCTCTCCCTTCTCTCTTAAATCAATTCAAAGTACTTAATAAATACAATGTGCATAGTGAGTCACGAGTCTTAAGCACATGAGAAAAGATGAGCGGACGCATTTCTAACCTCATCTTAGGGTACTTTGTGCGTGAGACGTTTGGATCGTTAGTGTGAAGTATTTGATTCTATGTCATAGACTTTAGTGCGATACACGTCACGAACAAAGTCAATCCACTTATCTAAAACACTTGAACAAACTCAAAATGTTTTGTCCTTCAGAATTTTCTGTCAAACCTTTTTTCAGAAAGGGCATGTTACCTCCGTTCTACCGCAAACATGCATCGACCCTAACTGCTGGAACGTGAGTTTAACATCGTTCATAAAAGACACCAACCAACTCATGGTAGGTCAAACTACGACTCCTCTGACTTCCTCCTTCTCATTCGAATGAGGATACATAGGCACAAGACGATAAAGTCTTGGCGAGAACAATCCCCTCATTCACATGTAATCCTCCGAACTACGTTGACTCTGACTTTCTCGTTGCACGAGGGAATACGTAGGCATAGGATTGCGAGATCCTATCGAGTCTCCTTTGCTTTTTCTCCCTGTAGTTTCCATTAGCAAGTAGGCTTTAGATAAACACACCCTTTGATTAGACAACAAGCGTGGATCTCGTTGAGTACAATAGACGCGAGGGGTAATAACACATTCTTCTCGCGTAATCGACTTCCGAACCCATGGATTTGATTGCGAGACCATGTCTTCTCCCTTTTGAGGTTTTCTCGATGTTTCCCTTTCCCCGTTGGGATAAATAAATTTTGATGGCGACTCTGTTTTTTCGTCGGATGTTTTTCGGGTTGTGACAACGGTCATCACAAATCGAATAGAGAAACAATAATATTATAAAATCAAATGTGAGCACAAAGTTGCAAGTTGAGATGTGAACTGGTAAGTGTACAAAAAGCAGATTTCCACTATGCTACACTATCGGACGCATGTATAAAATCAAAACACAATGATAATTAATTAAAAAATACCGCACATAAAACGATAAAATCAACACTTAACGTGAATATCGCAATATGGATCAAAATCGTACGAATCTGAATTTATAAAAAAGAAACGCAAAGAAAAAGGAATTTTAAAGGTGCTAAGCAAAAAACTAACAATGTTGATAATCTAAAAATACGATCATCGCTACTGGATCGAACCAACCCAAACGTCACGCATATATATATATATATATATATATATATATATATATATATATATATATATATATATATATATATATATATATATATATATATATATATATATATATATATATATATATATATATATATATATATATATATAAACATAATATAATATATATAAACTAAGAACTATTCTTAAAAAGTAAGAAAACGTAATATACATGAAACTAAAAATAAGCATAGTACAAAGTACAAACTTCCATTTTGTAATGATTCAAGATATATCTTATTTGTGAATTGATAAAAAAATATTAATAATTGCAGATGCTTTAATGACAAAACGGGGACGAGGGCGGCCAAAATCTACGGTGCCACCACCGCCGGTGACTCAACCACTACCAGAGGATCAATCGGAATAGGAGAGTATCCATACTGAAGGTAATGCGAATGAGTTAGATCAAGGATGTAGCAGTACAAATGTTGCGAAAGAAACTCTAACTAAAAGTGTGCAAAACTCAAAGGAGGATAATGAGAAGGCGATAATGGAGGAGCGAAAACTATGGATTGATGTTCTAAGTGACAACCGAAACCCTGCTAAAGGTCTTGCAATGGAGTATGTAGCACCAAATATTGGCAATGATACAATGGAGATTAAAATCGAGCAAGACTACATTGAATCGGAGATGTGGTTTTGGGATAATACTCTGATCCTTTATGTTATGGGAGAAGATCTAAGCATGAACACGGTGAAGAATTTCATGTAGAAGAATGTCGGATATGTATTACCATGATGAAGGATATTTCTTGCTTCGATTCAATTCTCATGAAGATAGAGATGTGATAATGATGAAGGGACCCTATAGCATCAGAAATATGCCTATGATGTTGAAGGAGTTGAGGCTTGATTTCAACCTGAAGAAGGATTTGTTGCGTACACTTCCTATCTAGATTAAGATTCCTCATCTCTCTCTCCATCTATGTGGAGAAAAAGCTTAAGATTTGAGGCTCTAAAGGTTTTGAATGACCATCTAGTGGCCACATATAGAGGCCCATGATTGTCTCTTAGAACATTAGGGGGCTTAATAAAGTAGGTAAGCTAAGGGAGATTAGCTCCCGTCTCCTTGAGCTTAAGCCTTTAATTGTCATATTGGTAGAGACTAGAGTAAATAAGAAAAAAGCTAGTGATGTTAGGAATAAACTGTACTTGACTGATAACTAGAAAGACCATGATAATGGAAGGATTTGGATAGGGTGGGATAGAAACAAAGTTGATAACTAGAAAGACCATTATGGTGTTTATGATGTTACTGGGGTGTTTAAGTATTGATGATTGTTGTTTATGCACATAACCATCCGAGCATGAGAAGGATCTTGTGGAAAGAGCTTGAGCATCTGCATGGTAACTTGCATAAGCCTTGGTGTGTGATGGGAGACTTTAACAATGTGGTCAAATCTCAAGATCGTATTGGAGGAATTTTGGTAACTGAAAAGGAGTATGAGGATCTTCAAAATATGATGGCTAATACTCGTCTAAGTGAGATGGACAATATTGGTGATTACTTTACTTGGTCCAATAAGCATGAAGTGGGAACTATCTATTATAGGATAGATAGGCTGCTAGGTAATATTGAATGGTTCCTAGACAATTTAAAGGTAACCTTGACTGTTATACCGCCCCCCCCCCAGCATTTCTGATCATGCCTTACTCTATGTAACCAACAAGAATGATAATAGGAACAAGAAGACACATTTCAGGTTTAGTAACTGTCTGGTGGAAATGCCAGGTTTTATAAATATTGTGAAGAATAGTTGGAACCAACCTATCAGAGGCAGGCCTATGTAGGTTTTGTGGGTTAAACTCAAGATATTACAACCTGAATTGAGAAAATTCAGTAGACCCCTATTCAATTTGAAGCAGAAATTGGTGGAAGCTAGAGAGAAGCTAAATTTGGCTCAAATTACTTTAAGTGGGGACAAAATGAATAGTCAAATCATTTAAGAGGTGGAGAGGCTTACTGAGGAGGTTATCTCCCTCAATGAGACTGAAGATAAAATCTTGAGGCAGAGGTCAAAAATTGAGTGGCTTAGAATGGGGGATGGAAATAACACCTTTTTTCATGCCTCCGTAAAAGCCAAGCAGAAGGCCGAATGCCTAAACCATCTTCAAAGAGTTTATGGCTCTATTATTAAAGATCACCATGAGATTGAAAAGGAAGTGCTGGATTTCTACAGTCAGTTGATGGGGAAGTAGGATAACAACTTAAAGCATATTGATATAGAGGCTATGCGATTGAGAAAGCAGTTGAACATGGAGCAAAGAGAGAATATGATTAGACCTACTTCTGAGCAAGAGATCACCAAAGCTTTGAAAGGCATGGGTGATTTGAAAGCACCAGGGATTGATGGCTATGGAGCTAGGTTCTGTAAAGCCTGTTGGTCAGTTATTAAAGATGATGTGACTGCTGTAGTGAACTAGTTTTTTCGACACAGGTACCATATACAAAGCTTTTAATAGTATTGTCATTACTTTGATTCCTAAGTGTGATAATGCTAGTCAGTTAAAATACTATAGACCTATAGCTGGATGTACAAATTTTCACAAGATTATTGCTAGAATTCTGACTGATAGATTGGGAGGGGTCCTTCAAATTGTTATTAGTCCTTGTCAGGTAGCATTTGTGCCCGGTCAGAATATTCATAATCACATTATGTCGGCTTATGAACTCCTCAAAGGTTATACTAGGAAATGGGGTACTCATAGGACCATGATTCAAATTGACTTGCAAAAGGCCTATGATATGGTCAATTGGAAAGCATTAGACTGCATTATGAAAGATATTGGAATACCTTGTAAGTTTATAAAATGGCTTATGGCAGGGATCACTTCTGTTTCCTATAAGGTCAATCTCAATGGGAATTATTCAGAGTATTTACAAGCTAAGAGAGGTATAAGACAGGGGGACCCCATCTCCCCTCTGCTCTTTGTTATTCTGATGGAGTATATGCATAGGACCTTGAGTAAATTGCAGTATAATCCAAATTTCAATCATCATGCCAAATGTGAAAGGTTAAATCTCATAAACCTCACATTTACAGATGATGTGCTGCTATTCTGCAGGGGTAATCCTATTTCTGTGGATTTGGTGATGAAAGCATTCAATAGATTTTCTGTATCTATTGGTCTGGTGGTTAATCAGGGCAAGTGTTAAATCTTCTTTGAAGGGTTAGATGACTGCAGTAAAGAAGATATCAAGGTTCTGACTGGTTTTCAAGAGGGTGTTTTGCTCATAAAATATCTTGGTGTCCCTTTGTCTAGTAGGAAGTTAAATATCAATCACTATATGCATTTGGTTGACAAAATTTTTAGGAGAATCCATCATTGGTCCTCTAAGCTGCTCAATTATGCAGGAAGAGTCCAATTGGTGAATAATGTTACTAGTTTTATTGCTCAATATTGGCTGCATTGTTTCCTCATCCCTAAAGAGACGATAAAAAAGATTGATGCTATTTGCAGGAGTTTTATTTGGACTAGTAAGAATAACATCAGTAGGAAAAGCCCTATGGCTAGGAAGAAAATGTGTAAAGACAAGAGCCAATGTGGAATGCAAATTCTGAATTTGAGTGTTTGGAACCAGGTTTTAATGTTGAAATGTCTGTGGAATTTGTGCAGAAATTTTGACAACATGTGGGTTAAATGGGTGCACCAATACTACTTAAGGCATTTTGAGTTGTTGGAATATGAGGTTAAGGTGCATCAATCTTGGGTTTTCAAGAACATTATGAGCCAACGAGATATAATGAGTAAAGTGCAGCATGAGTGGGATAAAACTGTTCTGCAATAGAAGTTCAAAGCTAAATTTTTTTATGCAATTTTGAATGTTGAAAATGAGGATGTGATGTGGAAAAGTCTAATGCTGAGAGACTATATGCTAGGCCTCGAGCAACATTTTGTCTTTGGCTTATCTGTCATGGCAGCTTGCTACTAAAGACAGACTGAAGAGGTTTAAGATGATACATGATAGTACTTGTAGCTTATGTGATATGGAGGATCAAATTATTAACCATCTTTTCTTTGGCCGTAGTAAAACCAAGGCTATTTGGATGGATATGCTTAAGTAGATTGAAGTGAGTCACACTCCTCAAAAATGGGATGATGAGATCAAGTGGGTTGTTGGGGAAATTAAAGGTAAAGGTTGGAAAGCAACTGTTTTGAAGGTGTTTGTGGCTTAAAATTTATATAGTATATGGAACTATAAGAATGATGTTGTTTTTGGAAATAATGTGAATAGTAATAGCATTAGTACAAAAATCATAGATAGTGTGGTTTATAGGGATTGAAATCATTGGAAAATTAGAAAACATATAGTTAATTTGATCTTATAATTAGTCTGATATATATATATATATATATATATATATATATATATATATATATATATATATATATATATATATATATATATATATATATATATATATATATATATATATATATATATATATATATATATATATATATATATATATATATATATATATATATAAAGAACATATTAAGAACAATGCAGTTTTAAAGATGGTATGCACCAAAAACTGAGAAAAAATGGAAGAAATAAAACATGACATAGTTTCAATGGCAAAGTTTTAAAATGTGGATAGTACTGAAACATAACCGTCGGCTACAGTTTGATAATAGATGAATCTTCCTCAACTGTGTGTAGATCTCTTTCTCACGTAGGAATAGTCGTCTTGTCCTCACAGTATCACTAATATTTATACATGTCATTCTAGGGTTTTTAATAATTTTGGAAATCTACAAATGTCTTCAGTGTTTATTTTAGAGACAAAAATAAATAATATTAATTAACATTAAATAAAACCAAACACTAAAAAAATACTTAAAATAAAATTAAAAAATAAAAACACCAAAAATTCTATTTATTTTTTCTAGAAATTTTGATAACAACGCAAAAATAAATGAAATCAAAATATAAAAAAGTCGAGCGCAAAAGTGCTCGAAAAATTAAATTGAATACAACCTTTGATCAATTTTTGAAATAAAATATGACCAGTTAAAAGGCTCAGACTGATTAAAACGAGACCGATATAGTAGTCAAATTTTAAAACGAGCACACCAAGTTAAACTATGCGAAACGTAGATTAATATAATTGACGTCTGCAAGTTCAATTTTGAAATTTTTCATCCACTAGTTCTACACAAGTTGAGATTCAGTTTGACCGGTTTGTATGTAAATCCGAAAAATTATTGCGATTAACATCCTGGTCATTGTGCAAGATGAAATACATGTTATGATATGCATATGATTTTAATGATTCGATGAATGCATTTTTTTTGCGCTTCAGAGTCAAAATTGGGGTATGCCAGTTGCCCCTATTTAAGTATCTTCAACCAGAGAATATGAAGAAGGATACTCTTCATATAATCACGGTGAAAGATATTTAAATGATAAAAAAACCCAAATTTTGTCCCTGAATGCAGATGTGTATGAAAGAATCTTTTTCATTTTGGTTTTCTAGGGATATGATGTGATATGAGATGAAACTTAACATCATTTTTTATGATGAATGATGGATAATAAGCAGACCTGTGGGGAATGATGGAGACATATGGTAGTGGTGATCCACAGGCAATGTCAAAAACACTAGGTGAAGACTTGGGATGACAAATTATTGGGGAAAATATATTGGGAAATATTCAAAGCATGTTTTATCAATAGGTTCAAACATGACCTGACAGTTTAGA